GGCCGCGGGCTTGGGGACCCCCGGAGACGCCTCTTTGAGGGAGCCCCTCTTCGGGGTGGCCGCGGCGTCCTTCCCTCGCAGGGCTCTGTCCCGGGGCGGGCCGGCCTTGCAGCCAAGCCCGGCTTTCGGGGAGGCGGGCGCAGGAGCCTGGCAGGGCCCCAGATCCCCAGCCCCGGAGGACACGGAGTCGCTCCCTTCCCTCTCCCCATCTCCGGGTCTGGGCTCGGCGCCCTCCGAGCAGTCCAAGGTCAGCGAGCAGTCGGTGGTGTCCGAGATGTAGAACAGGCGCCCGGGGTCCTGGCTCTCCGGGTCACTGCTGCCCACGGACTCCTCGGCGGCGGCCCCGGCGCCCTCCGGGGCGGCGTCGAGGCTCTCCTGGGGGGCCTCGTCCACGGGGGTCGGGCTGTCGCTGCCCCGCCCTGGGGGCTCCTGCTCCCCAGGGCTGAGGTCACTCGGCGTCAATGGGGATGTGGGCAGGGGCGCCTCGGCACCCTGGAGGTCGAACGGGGTCAGCCCGGTCACCAGCTCGTGCTCCTTGACGCCCAGAGCGAGTGGCGACAGCGCAGGGACGGGTGCGGGCCGCAAGCCCGCCGGCTCACTGTTCCTCTTCCGCAGGACCCCGACCCCCTCGTGTCGAGCGCGGGGGACGGGCTCTGCAGCCTGGGGGGCACTCTGCCAAGCTGAGGGTGGGTTGGGGGCTTTCTCCAGGCCTTCAGAGGCGGGAGGGGTGGGTGTGAAGTCGGGGTCGGGGTCCTTTGGCTCTCTGGGTCCCATCCAGGCCATGGTGGGCCGGGGCTGCCGGGCGCTGTTCCGGGGCAAGCTGTTGAACTTGTTGGGCCCCTCCGAGCTGTCCGTGGTGCTCTCCAAGAAGGTCAGCAGCTCCCGGTCAGCAGACGCACCCAGGGACAGGCGGGAGCGGCGCATGTTGGGGGGCCGGTAGGAAGGGCTGATGGGTCTGGGCTGCAGGAAAGGGGGTAGGTCCTCCGTGCCCTTCTTGGCCAGTAGCTCGACATCGTTCTCGCTGCTGCTCCTGCCAAAGCCCCCCAGCTCTCCTGCCGTCCAGGAGCGCCGCTTCTGTTCCAGCTCCCTTAGCCGCTGCAGCTGCCTCTGTTCATGCAGCTCTCGGTCGTGGTTGTCCTGAGCAAGGGTGGAGAGAAGCCAGCATGAGACACGCGGCTCACCTGCGACTCCAGGGCCACCCACCTCGCAGAGGTGCGTGTGGGGAGGGCGGCCCTGGGCTCTGGCTGGTTTGCAGATGCGCACTTGTCGCAGTGTGTGGAGAGTCCCTAAAGTGGCTTAGGGGATCTGACCCAGGCTCACTGCTGGGCCTGGCTCCAACAACCTCGACTGTTCTCATCTAAACCCTTGGCCCAACTTTTAGTTTTCAGCCAGGGCTACAATTCCAAATATGCACAGGACTTCAATTCCAGGAAAGTCAGCTTGGTTTCTAAGTAGGGAAAGACCAGGAGGAGGATGGAGAAACAACTATGTAAGCAATGCACAGAGAAAAACCACTGTGAATGTTCTGCATGCAAACTGTAGCATAGGTATGATAGAACTGTGCTGATGTGTGCACACGCCACACACTTGCATGCACGTAACACACCCTGCTACTTAACAATGACCTGGATACAGAAAGGTGTGCCCCAAAGACTAAGAGATGCCTGCCCTTGCCCCCCACAACCAGAGAAAAGGACAAGAACAGGGGTGCCTTGCAAATCCACCCTGACGCAAAACACTCCACCCTCTCCCATGCAATGGAATCTGAACCTGCGAATATTAAAACAAAAATTTGAAAGCCCACTTTAACGTATCATTCATGGAATGACAATGTACTTTTGCTGCTCAGATCCAGGTTTTTAAATTTTATTTTATTCTTTTAGGGGATGGGGGATGTTACTGAGAGTGGAACTCAGGGCTTTGTTCCTCCTAGGCAGGTGGCTCTACTACTGGAGCCATATCCTTAGCATTTGTTTGTTTGGTTTTGACTTTAGTATTTTGAGGATAGGGTCTAATGCTGCTCATGCCCTGGTAGGTTGGGGCCAGTCCTTCATATCTCAACTTCTCAAATAGCTGGAATGACAGGTATATGCTACCACACCCAGCTGTTGATTGAGATGGTGTCTCACTAACTTTTTGCCTATGGCTAGCCTCAAACTGTGATCCTCCTGATCTCAGTTTCCCAAGATGATAGGCATGAGCCACTAAACCAACCACTGATGTAGTTTCTTAAGATATTTACAACGTGGGGTTGGCTGAAACTGCAGATGTGGAATGGTGGCCATGGAGAGCTGGCTGTGTCACAAATCACAACTCTTTTGGATTGTGACATCCGTGTGCGTAATTACATAATTACACACACATCACCACCCAAATCTGTTCTTGTTAGCAATTTTTTTGTTTGAAAATCCACTTCCTCCTCCAATGAACTTTTCCTGGCCAAGCTTCTGCCCCAGCGCTGGCTGGGGACTCCTGCTCCTCCCACAGCTCCAGCCTCGGCCTTCTGGCCTCCCATCATTCCCATCTCTCTCAGCCGTCTCCCATCCAGGCTGCTCTGGTGGGAGGGGCTGGGTCTTGGCTCTAAGGTGGAGTGCGCTATGCAGGTGGCCTTATAGGCTTGTAGGATTTGGACATGGACTGAGCTCCTCAGAAAGAGCCAATTTGGCCTCCCCCATCCTCCACAGTCTCCCACAGCTGAGCTCACTGCTTGGACAGAAGCACATCAACGTGGCCACAGGCTCAGTCTCCTCCTCTCAGCTGGACAGAGAAAGGAGAGGCTGGAAAATCCAAGTAATTCTGAGCTTGTGAGGAATGTGCCCAGTCTTTCCCAGAGATCCAGCCATGGATAGATCTGCATTTAGGGTAACAGTGTAAGGCCTTGGGTTTGATCCCTAGCACCAACTAAATCAATCAAAAAACAAAATAAAATATGGGACAAGAGATGATTTGGGGTATGTGGCTCTTTGTGGCTACCTGAAATGAAAGATGAGAGCTACTTTTTCTTTTCTTTTACGGGTCCAGGAGCTTGAACCCAGGGCCTGGGCACTGTCCCTGACCTGTTTTGCCCAAGGATAGTGTTCTATTACTTGAGCCACCATCACATTTGGCTGTGTGTGTGTGTGTGTGTGTGTGAGTGTGTGTGTGTGTGTGTGTATGGGGGGAAGAGTGGGAGAGAGAAAGAGAGGGGTAGGAGGGGAAGGAGTGAGAGAGAGGAACAGAGAGAGAGAGAGAGAGATTGGTTAATTGGAGAGAGAGGTCTCACAGGCTGGCTTCTAACTGCAATTCTCAGATGTCAGCCTCCTGAATAGCAAGGATTATAGGCATGAGCCACCATGGCTTATTATTTGGTGTTACTTAACAGAAGTTTGATTTATGACTTCCAAATTCAACTCAGAGACCAATGGAATTGGCAGCTGAGGGGAGGAAGCATGGCTGCTGTGATCCATACAGGGGTGTGGTCCCTAGATAGGGGAGACTATCCGAGGCCATGCTACAAAGAACAACAGGGTCCTTATAGAGCCAGTGCCATGGCAATGGTGCGGGGCTGCAGATGAGTAAGAGAGAGGCCTTTCCTCTAGCTGGACCACAGAAACTCTGAAAACAAGCACTCTTTAATCCACTTGGGTTGAGCAAGAGAGACAGGCTGTTAGGGAGATTCTTAGACACTGTGACTTCCATCCTTGAGAAGGTCTATGAATGAAACACTTTTAGGGCGTTACGTATGCTGATGTGAACACTAAGACACCATGCGACATCAGAGCCACATCACAGGAGAGGACCTGTGTCACAACCCAGCCTGACACTTCCGGAAACCACAGAACCCCTAGACCGAACTGTTGTCCCATGGACAGAGAATTGGATCAAAGCAAAAAGTCAGAGTCTGGAAACACAACGATGCCACTGGCCATACCTTAACTGCTTTGTTGAATCTGGTGCAGAAGTCTCTGAATATCTGGAAGCATTCGTCCAGCTTCATGGTTTCTTTGTCTTCGCAGAAAAAATCTATGAGGGTATGAGCCTCTCCCTGCAGCTCCCGTCTCCAGTGCTCCAGTTCCGACAGCTTCTCCATGGCAAACTGCAGAGACACAGACAGACTCAGTGCAATACACAGATCAGCTGGAGCAGCATGATCTGAAGTACTCTGGAAGACACACTGCCAGAGTCCCATCTCAAGTCTCTGGGAAGGGAAGGGTTACTGCATGACTGCTGTATAAGTCAACTCCAACTGAACTTGGTAAAAGCTAGGAGCTCATCTCTCTCTCCTAAAAACCACAGAATGGAAGAATCAGGCATGGTAGTGCATGCCTATAATCCTATAAACCCAGAATTTGAGAGGCTGAGTCAGACTGAGGTTAGCCAGGGCTACACAATGAGATCTCCATCTAAACCCCTTCCCCCCACAATAACCAGAAGAAAAAAACAGATTTAAAGCTAATGTAGAAGGGTGCTGATAAAATTTTTACCTTGAAGGTCACTAGAAAGGTTGGTTTTATTAGGAAGATCTCCTGTTCCTATTCTTCTTTCTCTCAAACTTGACTCTTCTACTGGCAAGGGTTGTCTTTAGGGTTTGTCCTGACAAACTGCCCACGCTGCCCTGCCAGAGGGAGTCTATGCTTGAGCATAGATCACTAAGAGGGGTGCTTTAGCGTGGACTACTGTCCAAGTCAGCTGGGAAGGGCTAGCCACAGTCTGCGCTTGAACCCCACATGCAGAGAGTAGATTTGAGACAGACCCACATCGACATTTCACTAAAAACCCCAGCAGAGTCTAACCCTGTGCCATTTCCACTGCATTACTTCTCCCAACTCCAGTAGGATAACAGCGTCACCCAAGGAGCCCCAGCCACCTGCCACCTGCAGTGTCCTGGGGCAGGTCAGCAAGCGCCTTGAGAGCTAACGGTGAGGCGGTGTGGTGAGGGAGGGAGCATTTCTTCCCCATCACCTGGGAGATGGAACATCTGGAATGATGTGGAAATCTTTCCTTGCCTGCTGATGGGGAAATGCAGTTTACAGGAAGGAAATTTGCAGGAAATTTGCTACTTGGTGAAATCACATGTCCTGTCTTTCCAAAAATGGGCTATTTTTCTTCTTTTTTGTCTGTGTGTGGCAACCTGAGCTTTGAACTTAGGGTCTGGAGCTTGTTTAACAGGTGCTCTAGTAGCTCTTTTGGCCTTCAGTCATTTTTGCCAGATAGGATCTTAGCTTTTGTTGTTGTTATTGTTGTTATGAGGGCTGACCTCTGGACCTGGGCGCTGTCCCTCTGCTCTTCAAATCAAGGCTAGCTCTCTACCACTTGAGCCACAATGCCACTTCTGGCTTTTTTCTGCTTATGTGGTGCTGAGGAATCGAACCCAGGGCCTCATGCATGCAAGGCAAGCACTCTACCACTGAGCCACCTTCCCAGCCCAGGATCTTGGCTTTTTGCCCCAGGAGCAGCCTTGTATTGCAATCCTTCTACCAATGCCCCAGCATAGCTGGGATTACAAACAAGCCCCAACACATTCAGCTTGATTATTAAGATGGAGTCTACGTAACTTTTGTCTAGGTAGGCCTTGAACTAAGATCTTCCTGATCTCTACCTCCCAAGTAGCTGGGATTACAGGTGTGAGCCGCTACACGTAGCCCAAGGGCTTAAATGTGAACAACTACTCTTGGAATGAGGGGTTGGAACTATGGTGCGGCAGAAGCTGCAAGCTGCCCACTTTTGAGGAGGACTTACTGTCTGAGCACGTTCTGCCAGCTCAGACCCACCACCTCCCACTCATTCCAACAACTTTCCCCCTAAATGGCCTTTTCTTTTAAATCAAACACATTCTAGAGGTAGCAGAAAATCTAAACTATGTAGGAAAGTGAATACCAGAGACAGTAACCATCTGAGTCAGTAGCCCACGGCAGTATGCGTGTTTATACTCTAGCTTTCTTTATGGAGAGGAACATTCATGAAGGGATAAATCTTTGCCTGTCATTCTTCTGAAGGGGAAATATGGATTCCAGCCAAGAATAGCTCAACTGGAGAAGCATAGTCTTCCTGACAAAAGCCTGTGCTGGGAGCTGGGCTCTGCCAGGTCCCTGCTCTGCAGACCCTGGGCGACAGGCCCACACCAAAGCCAGCCCTGCACCAGGGAACGTGAACGGCTCTGGCCGCTGATCTGAGAAAAAAAAAACATGGTTGAGTCATGTGTCTTGAGACCCACAGGACCAGGGACACAAAAGTCCAAAGTTGCACTGGTGAAAGGGCTTATTCTCTTTCATAGAGATTGAACTTTCACCTTGAACTTGACTGCTAGGGATCAAAGTTCCAAACCAGTATGGCTTGCCCAAAATCTACTTCAAAATGTTGAAACTGATCTGCAAAAAAAAAGTGTTCCAATGATCTTTCTCAAAAATCTTGAACAGAGGTTAGGGCTTGCCCTAGGCTTATCTAAGTATGCAAGAAAAAGGCCCAACAAACAACTCCCCACAAGCTGACCCACTCTGCTTACCACAGCAGGTCCTGAGACTTCACAGTCCTTCATGCTCCGATCCTAACCCATTTTAAGAAACTTTGTCTCACTATTTAAGAAAGAAAAATACCTAGCTCTGTATCACATTTTATTTTCAGAGATAAAAGCAACTGACAGGGCATGGGGCATAGCTCAGTGGTATAGCACTTACATAGCAATTACCACCAACAACAAAATAAAATTATATCCCAAAGAAACAAAAAAACTTCCAGTAAGAAAAGTTTAAAGAACTAAAATAATGGTCTATAGGTAAGGAGAGGGTAGAGACATTTTTCATCCCAAATCCCATTGTACAGCTAGGTGCCAGGGGTTCATGGCCTGGCACTGTAGCTTCATGGGAGGCTAACATCAAGAGGACTGCAGTTCCAGGCCAGCCTGGGTAGAAAAGTTCCTGAAGTCCTTGGTAGTATGAGTGTGTTATCCCAGCTATGACAGGAAGGCTAAAACAGGTGGACTGACGCCTAAGCATGCACCAGGGTACGAAGGGGGACCTCATCACAAAAATTAGTGACTAGAGGTAGAACTTAACTATAAAAAGCCTACCTATGCCTTGTATGTCCCTCCCCCATGGTATAACCCCTGCTTTCACTATATATGATGTTGGTATATGTGGAGGGGAAGGGAAAAAAGAAATTGTTAAAACAGGGATACAGGAGGACCCATTGCAACAATGAGATGTACAAGTCATTATCTCGAAAAACGAACTTTACAACTTTGGTGGGGATGGGAAGGGGAAACAAAGCAGGAGGCTACAATGCTTGATAAGAAATGCACTCATTATCTTACCCATGTAATTGTAACCCCTCTGTACAGTATTTTCACAATAAAAATATAGTTAAAAAATAAAGCCTACCTAGAAGGCAAGAGGCCTTGAGTTCAAATTCCATACCTTTGCCAAAAAAAAGGGGGGTTCTATATTAAGGTTTAATTGTGGAAGATACAGCTTAGGAGTAGCTTAGAAGTCATGAGTTTAATCCCTAGCGCCATGAGAGAAAGGTGGGAGAGAGAGAGAGAGAGAGAGAGAGAGAGAGAGAGAGACTGATTTAGCATAAAATATTAACACTTAAGGTAAAAACTTGGGAGAAGGAAAGAAATATCCAAATTCTTCACTGTGACATGTGGCAGTTCTTTGGGGTCCGGTCGTGGGGCCTGAACTCTGGGCCCTGGGCACTGTCCCTCAGCTCTTCAGCTCAAGGCTAGCGCTCTACCACTTGAGCCACGGCACGACTTCCGGCTTTTTTTTCCTTTTTGCTTATGTGGTGCTGGGGAATTGAACCCAGGGCCTCAGGCATGCAAGGCAAGCACCTTACCACTGAGCCACCTTCCCAGCCCCGACATGTGGCAGTTCTTACTCTTGAATTTCATAATTTCTTTTGTTCATCCAACTGTGCTCAACACTGTTTTGTGGTATTGAAGCAATGATGGTAGTCGCATTTGCTTTGTTGTTGCACTAGGAGAAAAATGTGTCTGTGTGAAGGGACTGTGAGCACAGCTCATGGCAGAGCACCTGCCTAGCATGCAAGAGGCTTTGGGTCTCATCCCCAGCACCAAAAAACAAACAAACAACAAAACCCAAAAGGCATGAGTCTGGTTACGCTTGAAAGTAAATGGAGAACATGTTTAATAATAAAAATAAACTCACAGCAGAGCCACACACAATGCAGCATTTGCAGGTGGAGCTGAAGGACATATACTATTCAAAGGAGCCCAGTGAATGCACAAAGCCCCGGCCCTCACTGTTTCAACCTAGCACGCAGGTAACTCTGCTCCACAACTCCCAGTCATGGGTCTTAGCTACTGAGCTAATGGCTGCATCCGTAGAAGGCTAACAGCAGGAAACGGTGCCACTTTTTTTTCTCTTTTAATAAAGTAGATTAAAAAGATGTCAGACTATGTGATTAGTGAGTCACGGTGAGCCGCCACAAACATGTCCACTCTGCTAGTTTTTGTTGATGTTATTCAGAGCAGCTCCTGACACACCCTGTGGGTTGATGTTCCAATGTTGACAGGCAGAGTAACTGTGTGTGTCCTGCTGCCCAAAACCCATGCCCATCCATGTGCAGTGGTCCCAAGAAGGAAGGACGATGATCAGGGATGGGCACCAGTGGCTTATACCTGTAACCCTATCTACTCAGAAGGCTGAGATCGGAGGTTCCTTGTGAGACTCTTATCACTAATTAGTCAGCAAAAAGCCCGAAGTGAAGATGTGGCCCAAGTGGTAGAGTGACAATCTTGAGCTAAAAAGCCAAACAGGAGTATAAGACTCTTAGGTTCAAGCCCTGGTACTGGCTCGTCAGCAAAATAAAAACAAAACAAAAGGAAGATCGGCCTGGGTCCTGCAATGTAGGGTGATTTCAATAGAACCTTGTATTCCAAAACCATGACAGGTGTACAACCAGATGTTGAGTTGCTGGGCAGAGTTGGAGCGTCAATGCGCTAGGCTGCTATAGGTTCACCACAGGAAGGTGGATCTGGCATGTTTATGGAGCAGTACAGGTTCCTTGTACTAGCTTTGGGAAACTATGAATGAGAGCCTGCTACTCTGCAATTCACCCAGGGGAAACTGAGGCAGCCTTTCCAGGGCTGCCGAAGGCTGAGATTCGAGGGACTGACCTGAAGGAAATCTTCCATCTGCTGGCAGAGCTCCCCATCCTGCTGGACATTTTCCTGAAGCGATCTCGTCCTGACAAAGAGGGAGCGCAGTTCCGCCTCGGTGTTATCCAGAGATAATCTAGAGAAGGAAGGGGAGAGTGGGCAGTTGGCACAAGGTGTGGGTATGTTAAACCAGTTCCATCTGTTTGATGGACACACACACACGCTGGTTCAGGGCACAGGCCGTCACTGTTCTTGGAGATGAGGCAACTCAAGCCCCATGATTTGCAAAGCTTTTCATAAAGCAGGTCTGAACACCTTTATGCAACAGCATCACCACACAATGCTTTCCCTGGATTAGGAAGCTCTAGTCCACAAAAGGGAAGGCCCACAGTCCCAGTACTAAGGGCCCCGTGGAGAAACTAAGCAGACGCTACGTCTCACAGGTAGCCACACACACTCTCCATATTGTATAGAGCACTAAAACACAGCCACCAGCTCTGCGAGTAAATGGTCAGATTGATTGTAATGATTCTGTTACATGCATCAAGTCAAGATTAGTAGAACATGATGGATGGCTTTGTTTTCTATGCTAGTTGTGGGGCTTGAACGCAGGGCCTGGGTACTATCCTTTAGATTTTGTACTCAAGGCCAGCTCTCTACCACTTGTAGCTATAGCTCCTCTTCTGGTTTTTGGTGGTTAATTGGAAATAAGAGTCTCACAGAGTTTCAGGCCCAGGCTGGCTTTCAGCCACGATTCTCAGATCTCAGCCTCCTGAGTAGGCATGAATCACCAGTGCCAGTTGTATAGATTTTTTGTTTGTTTGTGTGTATGTGTGGTGGTACTGGGGCTTGAACTCAGAGCCTAGGTGCTGTCCATTAGCTTTTTCCATTCAAGGCTGGCTTTATACCACTTGAACCACAACTCCAGTTTTGGTTTTTTGGTGGTTAATTAGGTATTAGTGTCTCATGGACTTTCCCACCTGGCTGGCTTCGAATTGTGATACTTAGATCTCAGCCTCCTGAGTAGCTAGGATCACAAGTGTGAGCCACTGGTGTCCAACTCTCTTGTCTTTCTTAGTGCAATGAAAATTTTTATCTTCATTGGTTACTGGTGCCTATCTGAGATCGGATACACTCATGTATTCAACCCTCTATTTCAAATAAGCAAGCCTTACCAAAAGGATGTTTTCTAAGGTATTATCTAGCTAAACTGATTCTTTGCTAGCCAGGAATGCCTGTTCAAAATGTAATGGTAGCCAGAGGCCGGTGGCTCATTTCTGTAATCCCAGCTACTTGGAAGTCTGAAATCAGGAGGAATGTAGTTCAAAGCTAGTAAGGGCAGGAAAATTCATGAGAACCCTTCTCAACTCATAGCTGGGTGCAACTGTACGCAGTCATCCCAAGCTACATGGCTTGAGAACAGGAGGACTGAAGTTCTAGAGCAGCCCAGGCAGAAAGACTCCATCTCTATGGAGGGAATCTAGACATGATGGCTCACACCTATGATTCTAACAACTATAAAGAGCCTTAAGTAGGTTCATGGAGACTCCCAGTGGGCAGGAAGTGAGACTCTTATACTAAAAATAACCAGTGAAGAATAGGGCTGGCCATGTGGCTTAGTGGTAGAACACCAGTCTAGCAAACTAAAGACCCTGAGTTCAAACCCAAGTCCCACCAAAAACAATAACAACAACAAAAGCAAGAAAGGAAGAAAGGAAGGAAAGAAAGTAATGGTAGTTTCTCCTTACACATCTCTTGATAATAGTTCTGTACTAGTCAGAATAAAAACAATCTCACACAACATTAAAAAGTGAATAAGTCTGTGTCATAAGATGAACATATTCATTTTTACATCATAATCTAGTAATCTGTAAACACGAATTATGAAATGTTTATACCTCTGCACTGATAATGCTCCTTTTGGAAAGACATATAATCTGTGGTTACGTGTTCATAAAGTTAGTATCAGTGAGATACTGGCCAATGACAGGCTATGAGCTGTGGTTCATTTGTTTATATGCAGATGGTTCATAGCTATCATAGCTGGCTAGAGTCACACATATAATAAGTACATGATAGGCTGGGTGTGGTGGCACATGCCTGTGGTCCCAGATACAGGGAGGTGGAGGTAGGAGAACTGAGGTTTAAGACTAATCTAGGCAAAGTTAGCACAAGATTCCATCTGAAAAGCAAACTAAGAACAAAAGGACCAGGGCATGGTTCAAGTGGTAGAGCGCTTAACCTAGCAAGCAGGAAGCCTTCAGTTAAGACTCCAATACCACGCACAAGCACACACGTACACACACATACACAAAATACATGACATAGTCGGGTGTGGTGGTACACACCCATAGTGCTAGCTACTCAGAAAGTGGGGCAAGAGGAGTGCTTGAGCCCAGGGACTGTGGGAAGCCATGTGCTGGTGGCTCACATCTATAATCTCAGTTACTCAGGAGGATGAGATCTGGAGGATCTAGATTCATGGCCAGCCTCAGCAGCAAAGTTTGCTAGACTCCATCTTGAAAATCACTAGCATAAAACAGGGCTGGTGGTAAGCCTTAAGTGGCAGGGCACCAGCTTAGCGAGTGTAAAGACCTGTGTGTTCACAGCCCAGTACTAAAAAGAAAAAAAGAAAAAGTAGAGAGATATGAACTGGGTCCACACATGCAGTGGTGAGCTGAGCAAACTCTTCCTGCTCTACACTGAGTAACTCCACAGGACAGCCTGAAGTCAGCCAGGCTGGCAACGGTAACAAATCAGAGGGATTTTCTTTGAAGAACTAGTTATTTGAAATAATACCATGGGATGCACAGATATGTATTATAAGAACTCAAAATAGGACATTCTCACAGATTATAGCCACCTTAAAATATATACCTATATTAGGATTAAAAGCAAATTAGAGTTATGTAATTAGAGCTTTATGCTTGGTAGGTACTTTCTCTGTCACACTGAGTGACTAATTTAAAAATCAAATCCTGTCACAGCTCTTGGTATGGTTCCAAACCCTTTTAATGTAATAGAAAATAAATGGACCATGCTAGATTCCACAAGGAAACAGTGATGTATGGCTCGCCGTTTGACTGATAGGAACCAACTCCCAGGTTAATAAGCTGTGTTGTTTGAATTTTTTGGGTGTGGAAGGATTTGAAGTTCTTAAGCTATATTTTTTTTAAACTTGTGATACTCATAGGATAGACTAACATTGTTTCTTTTAGTTTAAAAATAAAGCTTAAAACCCATCAATTTTCTCCAAACAAATTTCTTTTAAACAAAAGAAGTTCTGAAAGTGTAACAGAAAGCTTTTCAAGTTGGGCACTAGTAACACATCCTATACTCCTAGATTTTCAGTAGTATGAGATCTGAGGATCATGGTTCGAAGCCAGCCTAGGCAGAAAAGTCTGTGAGATACTAATACCCAAATAACTACCAAAAAGCCAGAAGCAGAGGTGTAGCTTAAATATTAGAGCACCAGCCTTGAGTGGCAAAAGCTAATGGACAGCACCCACTCCTGATTTCAACCAGTATTGGCATATGTGTGCACACACACTAAGAAAGCTTTTCAAAATTCATATTCAAATCTAAGAGTTCTAACTTCTCAGCCATTTTCCTAAGAGGACCATTAAGAAAACTGGATTCTCACAATGCACTTTTTTTTGTACTGAGGAATCAAACCCAGGACATTGCATTTGCTAGGCAACTGCTCTGCCACTGAGCTACAGCCCAGCCATCACAATGCATATCCTCTGCCCTCTTTGCTTACCTTGCAGCCTCTTGAACATGATGCAGCTTTTCAGAAAAGTTTAGAAGAACAGCATCTTGCTTTTGAGCTTCCTGGAACAAAACCAGAATATTCCCTCACTGGATAGATTAAAGGAAATCATTTTCTTCCAGATTAAGGGAGCCTTCAACTTCTTGTGTCTTTTGACACCTTGATATATTCTCAGCAATTCCCAGAGACAGGAACTCTGCTATCTTCATATTTACCAGAAAAACCTCAATTCTCAGACACAGCAATTAATCTGCCATGGAATACAACTCATGTGCATTGCAACTCAATGGAAGTGGTGGCAATTTAGCAGGCTTATTGTTTCTAAGAGAATCCAATATATCCTGCTTAAATATCACCCATACCTCTGAGTGTGTTTTTAAAGGCGTAAGATACTCTCTGCTGTAAAACCAGTTTGCATACTGAGTTTAATCAGTAGGTACTTGCTGGGAGGTGAAAGGAATGCAGGTGGGAAAGGAGCTGTTACTAACTCTGAAAGCTTCCTTTCCCCATTCAATGGCATGGACCAAATTACCCAGAGTCAGCAGACAAACAGAATGGAATACAGTCTGCCAAGAAGTGGGTAGGCTGGATAGAAAACACAGATTTTTTTTCCCTGAAAGCCTTGAAAAATGAACTTTTCAAACAAGTCCTTAAGTGTGGCTCAGTACGCCAGCACACACAAGGCCTCAAGTTCCATCCTCACACAGCAAAACAAAAATCTATCAAATACTGAGTTAAGCATGGCCCTCTATCTTCTGAAGAACACAGTCATACAGTCATATCGTGTATGCTATGTATAGGGAATTTTCTACAGGCCAAACATTGAGCGAGGCCCTTTATGGAAGTGTCCCTTCCAGTCCTTTCTATTACCCAGCTTGGAGTAAGTTATCCCTGCTTCATAATTAGATAAAGAAATAGAGAAGCTGGTCGCCGGTGGCTCACACCTGTTATCCTAGCTACTCAGGAAGCTGACATCTGAGGATAGCAGTTCAAAGACAGCCCAGGCGCCCCCCCCCCCTCCAAATGTCATTAGACTCCTATCTCCAATTAACAACCAAAAAGCTGGAAGTGGAGTTGTGGTTCAAGTAGCAGAGCACTAGCCTTGAATGAAAAAGTCAAGCAAGAGTGCAAGGCCCCAAGTTCAAGCCCTAGTACTGCACAAAAATGAAATAGAGGGTCTCAAGGTCTTTAACTTGTGTGAGGAAGTAGAGCTATGCATGCAGATAGTTTCCTTCTCAGGTCAAAGATGCCTGTCACTGGTGTGAAAACAGGGAATTCCAAGAAGGGAAAGCAAATAATTAGCAATAATAAGCAATTAATAAGCAATTAGTTGAGGTCGTTTAATTACAAAGAGACAATCACCCTTTAGGCAAAGCTATTCTGGTGTTCTGTCAAAATAAGAGGCAATTGACTTGAGATGTAGCTCAGTGGCAGAGCAAGTGCTTTGCATGTGTAAGACCGTGGATTCAACAAAAAGAAGGCATGGGTAGGCTCCAAACCCTTTAATAGCAGCAAAGTATGCCAACGTCGTTCTCAAAGGACATAAACACACTCTGTACACCCAAGTGGACATAATTTCTATCCATTTCACAGAAGTGGTTCACCCACCATCCAGTCTTCTCTCCGTCCCCAGGGCCATGACCCTCTCCAACTCTCACCAGACAGAGACAACTGCCACCAAGATGAATTCTATTTCTCATTCTCGCTCCACTCTAATCCAGCGTCCACCTGCCTTATTTTTCTACCTCCACTCAAAACTGTTCATGCAGGGCTGGGAAGTTGGCTCAGTGGTAGAGCGCTTGCCTTGCATGCCTGAGGCCCTGGGTTCGATTCCTCAGCACCACATAAGCAAAAAGAAAAAAGCCGGAAGTGGCGCTGTGGCTCAAGTGGTAGAGCGCTAGCCTTGAGCTGAAGAGCTGAGGGACAGCACTCAGGCCCAGAGTTCAGGCCCCACAACTGGACCAAAAAAAAAAACAAAAAAAAAAACTGTTCATGCCATTCTGCTGTGCGTAAACTCCTGCTAGCTTCCCATTGCAAGTATGGAATTCCAATTCTGCACCTCTGATATCTGACTCCTTCCAGAGGGCTTCTCAGCCTCTGCCTCACTCATCCACTCCCCAGCAGCTCTATAGACCCACAGCTCAACCTGGGCATCTGCAAACAGGGGATCTGAAAAGAGAATCTTCTTGGAACCTGCCACATCCTCTCCTAACTCAGATATCATGTCTCATGTATGGAACAAACTTCTCATTCTCCAATATGGATTCACATACATTCTCTCTGTATTAATTGTTTCCTCCTACCTGTGCGACAAAATGCAGAAGATTCATCCCAGGTTTGTTTGCTTTTGTGTCTGCCAATTTGAGCAAAGAAGATAGTTTAAATCCTACTGCGTTGCCGGCATACCCTCCCTAAAGAAGATAAAGCAAGAAAAGGAACATGTTATGACTTTAGGCAGACAATAAAGCTTCAAACACAGCTGCTGAATTGTTGTGGATTTTACTCACAGCATTCATGATATTCCCAGCCTGGAGCACCAAATGTAATATTGAATGGAGCTCCTCACATGACATGAGCTCTGTTAGAAAGAACACACAACAGTGCCTCAGAGGAGTCTTCCAACACACACACACACACACACACACACACACACACACTCCACTAATGATACTTAGTCACAGTGTTGAGCTGGGGATGTCAAGGATTGTCAAATACCACAAAGCAGTTAAAATAAGAAAAGTTTTCAACTAGTGGAAACTATAAAAAGCCTAAGGAAAGCCAGGTGCTGGTGGCTCACACCTGTAATCCTAGCTTACTCAGGGGACTCAGATTTGAGAACTGCCATTTGAAGCCAGCCTGGGCAGAGAAATCTCTTATCTCCAATTGACAGCAAAAAGCCAGAAGTGGAGGTGTGGCTCAAATGGCAGAAATGCCAGCCATAAGCCAGACCAAGCAAGAGTGCAAGGTTCTGAATTCAAGCCCCAGTACTGGCATGCACATGTGTGTGTGTGTGCGTGCACACACACACACACACACACACACACACACACACACACACAGAGTCTGAGGAAAAGCAGAGCAGTGTGCTGTAGGAATTAACCGTCTTTCCTCCAGCAATTATTTTTCTAACTTTTTCCCTTTATATCCACTAGCCTCTTTGAATGTATTTATACAATATGAAAACTAAGAGCAAGCAACAGTTTGTTTAGCCAAAGGGCTATGAAAAGATAAAAAAATGAATCAGGCTGGGATGACATGTAAATAGACGCAGAGCATCTACCTCAGGGCTTCCCGCCCTCAGCTCTCAGATCAGCTTTCCGTTTTATTCAAAGTGGAGTATTTACTCTGGATTGACTGAGGGCAATGAAAAAAGGGATTAATTTATTACAGCAATGGGCAAGCTACTTCTTTATTAATAGCAAATCTCTTGTACATTTATGTAAAGAAACAATTGAAAAAATGTAATAATTTGAGAGGCTAAGAGAAAACTTGATTATGAAAATTATAGTATACAGAGATAACAGAATATCATCTGTGATATTTAGTATTCCCCAGTATGTTTGATCATTATATTTGGAACCGTGTCTATACTTTGTTATCTAAGAGGGCCAGTTTGGGAAGGTTACTCAGATAAGAAAATTTTTCTCCATGCCTACAAATTTGCATTGCTCAATATGAAAACATGTTCTTCCATCACTATAGGGACGGGAAGAACCACCTTGTAAAGTTGCTGCCGTGGCCTTGGTATGGGAACAAATCAGAAAAGGCTTCTAAACAAGAAGTATAGCGTCTTTCTAAAATTAAGAAACCATGGTGTGCTGAGGGCAAACTTTTATCTCAGCACAGTCCAGAGCAACTAAACAGGAAAACTAAATAGGAATAGACAGTTCCTCAACAATAATTCAAGCCCAGACAACCAGCAAGAGGAAACAGGGAATGTGTGGGAGAGGGAGGCAGTTAAATTCTCAAGGCCTTAAAAAGGCCAGAAATGAAGGCTCCAGCCCTACAGAGGGAGAGGATTCTGACACAGATCAGGGAAGAGGCTGGGCAGCAGTCATGGGAAGCGAAAATGACTGACTTGTTCCCCTAAAACTCAAGTGGGCCTGGAGGAATGAGTAGGAGAAGACACCCCAGATGACAAACCTCAGGACCCATATTAGGGAGTCACACTGCTAAGGCCTGCAAGGGAGATCTGCTGCTGGACAGTCAGGGCCCAGTCTGGAGACCAGAGCAGGAAGGAGGCGCAAGGGGCCCAGGGCAAAGGTTGTGAGCCCAGAGAACCACCTTCACACAGCTTTATGCCCACTGCATAGTAAACATGCATAGTAAACACACACACACAAACACCATGCATATATACATATGCTATTGATCATACATGAGACGATCTATATTCATACATATTACCCATACACATGATTATCCACACTACAATGTCCACATTACAGACACATATAGATATAACACACACACAATACACCTCATCCACACACACAACCACACTATACATACCTCCTCCCGTGTTCATGTTCTATCTCACAAACATATAAAATACCCCACAACCACAGTATATACCACACACACAGATACACACTACAAATAACACACACAACACATACAACATTCATAGTACATACCACACACAACAGAAAGCACATACTATATGCACACACAATGATGTAAACACATTACAGTCTACGCAGATATATACCAGACACACAGCACATAACATACACACCACATACAGACCACATACTATGCATTCCATTAACACCCTACAGAAAGCTAACCAAGTTGAAGAACAAAAGCAAGATTCAACTAGAAGATTTCCTCTGAAAGCTGAGGTTAAAAAACTTTCTTCCATGGAAGATAATCTACAAGCTAATATTCAATAGAGGAAAAAAGCAAATGGAAATACCTTTAAATGAATCCCTACTAAATCTCAATTCCTTTTTTAGAGTATCTTAGAAATGAGACCTTCCATTTCTAATTCCAACTGAAATTTAAAAAACAATAAATAACTGGGTATAGCCAGGCACCAGTGACCCACACCTATAATCCCAGCTACTTGGGAGGTTGAGAGTGAATTGTGATTCAAAATCAGCCCTGGCAGAAAAGTTCTCTAGAGAATTCTAGATAACTCTCTAAAATAATAAGCTAAAAGCTGGGCTGGCTGGGAGTGTGGCTCATGTGGTAGAGTGACAGCCTAGAGAGCATGGGGCCTTAAGTTCAAATCCCAGTACCACCAAAAATAAGTAAACAAACACATATGGAGTGTGTAGATGTGTGTTTTTAAAATAAAAACAAACTATACGGAGATCCATGTATTTGCTTACCTTTTGTAGCAGTTCTTAAAATGGCTATATCTGTGTATAGAGAAGAACAAGAAGGTAAAAATTCCTTCTTTAGCACCATGGCTTCGATTCGAAGTGAATAGCTAGAAATAAAAAGTAAAACTGTAAATTCAATGTCAGCTTCAATCTTACTTCACAAAGAGCAACAGTCAGTGAGTGTGGCCTTACTTTGGCACCTGAATTAGGTAGTGAAGAAAAGAGTCGGCCAGGGACAGCTTGGACACATCGCCATTAAATGTTTTTAACTTCTTTACCTAAAAGACAGATGGGAAGCAGGGACAGAGAAAAAAAAGGCATCTAAGAATTATTTAAGATTATTTTAAATTTCATCTTAGAATTCTGAAGAAAATAGAATTTCATTAAACTGAACTTAATAAAAGTTTGCTAGGAAATAGTCATGTCTAGTACTTTGGTCCTAGGCTTGAACTCAGGGTCTGAGCACTGTCTCTAGGCTTTTTCATTTTGAAGCTAGTGTTCTACTACTTCAGCCACAGCTCCACTTCTGGTTTTTTGGTGGTTACTTGGAGATAAGAGTCTTATGGACTCTTCTGTCTGGGTTGGCTTTAAACTGCGATCCTCAGATCTCAGCCTCCTGAGTAGCTAGGATTACAGGTGTGAGCCACTGGCGCCCAGCTCACTTTGCCTTTTTGTTGTTGTTGTTGATGTAGGGCTTAAACTCTGGGCTTGAGTACTGCCCTGAGCCTCTTTGTGCTCAAGGCTGGCATTCTACCATTTGAGCCACAGGGCCACTTCCCCTTTTAGCGTGGTTAATTGGAGATAAGCCCCTTTTAGCGTGGTTAATTGGAGATAAGAGTCTCATGGAACTTTTCTGCCCTGGCTGGCTTCAAACCTCAATCATCAGATCTCAACCTCCTGAGTAGCTTGGATTACAGGTGTGAGCCTCTGGCATCCAGCTTTCACTTTGCTTTTTTACTGTTTCCATTTTTTTTTTGGAAGGGCTGGGATGAAGCCTTGAACATGCCACACAAACACTCTACCCCGGAACTCATCCCCAGCCCTTTTGTGTTTGTTTTGCTTTGCTCTTTGGAGACAGGGTCTCACTATACATTCCAGCCCGGCCTTTTTGCCTTGGGGTCCTCTAGTCTGGTTACCTAAGGCAGGCATAAAAATGGATCAATTTGTTCTTTTTTGGGGGGGGGTCCGGTCGTGGGGCCTGAACTCTGGGCCTGGGCACTGTCCCTCAGCTCTTCAGCTCAAGGCTAGCACTCTACCACTTGAGCCACAGCACTACTTCTGGCTTTTTTCTTTTTGCTTATGTGGTGCTGGGGAAACGAACCCAGGGCCTCATGCATGCAAGGCAAGCGCTCTACCACTGAGCCACCTCCCCAGCCCCTCAATTTGTTCTAAGGATGAAAGCTTTCTGTCAAGTAATCATCTTGAAGTGAGATTGCCGTTTGCTATTTGGGAGGAAAAGTAAGTGAGAAGAACGTATGGAAACAGAACCCTGTAAGTGAAAAAAAGTTATTATTTTAAGTATTTTGACTATCTACATACATAGATGGGATAAAGTCTAACACAGAACTTCTTCCTGTGTCCCAGTTTCATTTCATACATAACAGTGTAGAGCAAGGACAAATGATTGTGTGTAGGGCTGGGGATGGACCCAGACCCTTTCTTGTACATGCTAAACATGAACTCTATTACCAAGCCACATCCCAGACCCACATTCCTCTCCCCTGCATTAACAATGTGATTAATAATGTGATTTTAAGCCCCTGGAAACACAGGAAATTGGAATTCAAAACATAAAAGGAGTATTTTCAAAGATCTACCAACTCATTAGCTTTTCTGCTCAAGGCTAGCACTCTACCACTTGAGCCACAGTTCCACTTCAGGCTTTTTGATGATTAACTGTTGATGTGTCCCATGGACTTTCCTGCCCAGGCTGGCTTTGAACTGCAATCTTCAGACTGTAGCCTCCTGAGTAGTTAAGGATTTGTGTGAGCCACTGGTGCCCAGCTTTTGTTCTTTTCTTTAATTTGGTGCAGTTCTGGGATAAACTAGGGGCCTCATACATGCTCTTCCACAGAGCTAACTCCCACTCCCCTTTTTATTGTCAGTCGTGGGGCTTGAACTCTGCTACACTCTCTCTACCACTTGAGCTATAGCGCCACTTCCGGTTTTCTGGTGGTTTATTGGAGATAAAGAGTTTCACACACTTTCTTGCCCGGGTTGGCTATGAACCGTGATCCTCAGATCTCAGCCTCCTGAGTAGCTAGGATTCCAGGCATGAGCCACCGGCACCTGGCCCTTTTTTTAATTTTTAAGGGCATAAAATCTCCATTTGTAAACTATTAACCCATCCTGCAGAACTAAAGTGAATTTCCCATTTTTAGTGTTAGTAACTGTGAAGTTTTGGACACTTAAGGCTATAGCTAAGAAGCGGTATGTGCTTGATTTAGCCTGGGATGTATTCTGATCTCTCTGCAGCAGAGCTGGGAATAATTCACTATATATGGGCAGGGGCAGAATGAGGTTGGGCCTTCTGAAAGCCCTGAGTGTAGTGTATGCAAAGCCTCTGGAAATAACAGCAGATTCAGTCTAACACATGAAGATCAGGTCCTGCTAAGTAAACTTGGTAAGTAGAAACACTTTAATAGAAACATTAAACATGTGCTAAACTGTAACACAGCTATGAGTAATCTCCTTTACTGCTGTAAAAGGCCAAAAATGTTTCTAGATCTCAAGAGAATGCTGATGGAAACAGCACATTTCATTTAAGTGCTATGGAGACAGTTCTCCATTCCATTTAAAATGGGATTTATGCTCATTAAGAGGTTCCCTGCCTTTCCACAGGTAGGGAAGTACAAGAGAGAGGTAAATGAACCCTGCAATTATTACGCATTCTCATCATCATTATCAAAAAGCATTTATTAATCACTGTTAGACATAATCCTGCTGGCTGAGCCAAGAGACTCTCATTAGAATCCCTGCTGTGTCCGGTTTCTGAGTTCTTGGCAGGAATATGCTCTCTTGAACCTCGCTCATCTCCCACAGGGTGGGTCTCCTTCATCCTGCCCAATTCCACCCCAGTGGCCTTGGAGGGGGGCAGGCAGGGTTTCCTACAAACATACCCAGGCAGCAGAGGATCCTCAGCCCTGCTCTTCTCTCCTTGCAGTAGCAGAGTAAGAAAAAGCCCAGGGGCTGGACATGTGGATTGGTGGTAGAACAGGGGCACCCAATTCCCAACCCCAAAACCATGCCAAACCAAGCCAACCTGAACTACAGAAGATTAGAGAAGAAGCAACTCAGCTGCTTCCAGAGAGAACAGAGAGCCCTAGGTCCCTTCTAGTTCTCTCCCTAGGACACTGAGATGGCTGATCCCAGCAGCACAGAGCTAAGGAAGGGCTGACCAGGTCCAACTTCCCTCCCTGGCAAGGGAACACTCAGTGTATCTTGTTGGGGGCCCACCTTCTTCCTTCACAGAGAAGGAGGTGAAGGAAAGATGAACAAACATGCCAAATCAAAGGTTTGTGGTGAAGGGCTCAGAAATCCCTGATAGAAATTGGCTTTGGCTGCTGGTCAGCTGAGGAGGCAGGAGAGAAAAGCACTTGTTTCCGCTTATCTTTTTCAACATGCTGATAAGGTTAGGGTATTATTCAAGTGACACTTACCCACACCCAGCCTTTGTGGCAGCTGAGGTGATGAAAAGGTGGGAAGCTACTCTGTGGGAGGTACAGTTTTGACAACCTTTGCCCTTCCTGCCTCCAAAGAAGGTAACCAAGGGCAGCAGAAAGACAACTCCAGGGTCAGAAGGATCAGGGTTCAAGTCCGCCCCTACTCTATGGCCCAGCAATCATGAGACACCATCCAACCTGTGAGGGCACACTTTATCATTGGTGAAATGAGGAATAGCTCATGATGTTCCTATAAGGATTAAATTTAAATATAGATGTATACACACACACACACACACACACACACACACACACACAAAATAATGATAGCTAGGATGGATGGACACAATCATTTCATTTCATTCTCTGTCCAGTGCTTGGATCAAGAGGGCTGTGGTAAATATCTGGTCCCTTCTTGGGCTAAAATTTAGCATAAGACATTTTATCACAGACTTAGGGCCATGTGGCTACACACACCCTCGTGTCTTGTGCATTTATTAACATGTTTCTGACACATTCCTAAGCCTCTGGCACTTAGCTGGGCTTCTTCCCTGGCCTCAGCCTCCATCCATAGGCCATCCATAGGCCCAGAGACTCCAGAGTCACAAACCTACTGGTCCTTGAAGGGGGAACAGTAGGGTAGGGGCTCTGGCTTTCCCTGAGACCTCTGTGGCCACACACATGCCTGGATGGAGTACATGGTCAGGGAGGGGTGACCTGGGCCTTTTTGGGTGTTTCTGTACGGGGAAGTTCCCAGTTGAGTATGGAGGGCGTGGTGAGCCGAAGCTAGTCAGTAATGTAAACAAGGAGAAGGTGGCTGAGCCGGCTAGACATTTAGGCTGAGATGGATCTGCAGCAGCAGGAGGGTGAGGGACACCTACACCTCTGGCCTGCTTAGACATGTGGAGCCCACCCCGAGGCCTCACCTCAGTTAGCTGTCGGTTGGGAGGGAGCTTTAGGGACTCAGGTAGGTTTTTCTCACCTGACTTTGAACATTGTTCATTTCCAACCATTTCCCACCCACATCCAAAAATAAAATTCTTTAAATGTGAGGATTTGAAAAATTCTTTTGCATTTTCTACTCATTTTTAAATGTTAAATGAGGAATGACAATATTAAGAAAATAATACTCTGGCCAGGGACTGGTGGCTCATGCTTGTGATCCTAACTACTCAAGAGGCTATGATCTGAGGATCGGGTTCAAATCCAGCCTGGGCAGAAAAGTTGTGAGACTCTAATCCCTAATTAACTACCAAAGGGGAAAAAAAAAGCCAGAAGTGGAGCTGTGGCTCAAGTGGCAAAGCACTAGCCTTGAGCAAAAAAAATCTAAGGGACAGCACCAAGGCCTTGAGTTCAAGCCCTAAGACCAGCGCACACACACACACACAAAAGAAAATCATATTCAATCTCCTACATCCTTGTAACGTGCAGCTGGCAGCCTCCTTCCCACCTGACTCCCATCTACTTAGACATCCAGGCTCTCAGAGCACTTTCACGTGCACTGTTGCACTGTCGTGTGATCTCGATGTTCATCAAAAACACAATGAGGTCAGTCAGGAGGGGATTCACAGAGCAGGCTGCAGGAAGACTCAGGAAAAGGGTCCAAGTAGGAATACAATTTCCAAAGCAATAAATCTTTTCTTCTCCTCTCAGTGGGGAGAGGAGGGATCATTTCCAGTGCCTCACACAGGCTAGGCAAGTGCTCTGCCACTGCGCCACATCCCCAGCTGAAGCAAATGTATCATTTTAAAACTCAAACTAAATCTTACCCTTCCTCACAACAATTGTGGAACTTCAAATCTATACAAAACAGAAAGGTTAGGGACTGCTGTGTTTGTAAAATCCAGGGTAAATTATGATCAAATACTTTTCCTTTATAACCCTTCACTAACAAATGCTATTAATTAAGCTAGGCCTAGATAACTTATACTTAATTTACAAGCAGAAATCCTGAGGAAGAGAGAATGCTTCCAGTAATCATAGATCTACAGACTGGAGCTAACCACTAATATCCCACATTGTGAATTAAACACTGATCATCATCAACAAGTTCCATAAACGGTATCTGGGAAGGTGAGTCAGAAGAGCCAGCAGTATTTATGAAAGTGATGATTTATGCAAATAATACAAAAAAACAGAAACTAAAAACAGCCATCCTTACTTTTCTCTCTTGCTTCCTCTCTTTTTTCAGTTTTGGGGATCAATCCAGGGCCCCACATATACTCAGCAAGTGCTCTACCACAGAGCCACATCTCTTCCATCCTTCCCTTTTTACTCCTAAAAAGTCTCTTTTGGAAGTGAAGCAGTGAATCAAATGGTAGAGCATCAGCCTTGAGCAGAAAAAGCCAAGTGAAAGCTCAAGACCCCAGGTTCAAGCTCCAGTACCAGCACACATACACAAGTCTCTTTTATTTTTACTCACAGAGTAAAATCTTCAGAAGATTCTAGACTGTTTTATTTTATTTGCATTCATAAGCATGAAAGTTAGTACACTGTCTTACAGAATTTTTCTCTAGAAACAAAGCACAATAATATGAATTTGGAAGTTTTTTTAAAAATAAAACTACTGCTCTTACTTCTATCAAGCAACAAACCATTCAATAATTCAGTGAATTTGGTCTAAGAGAAGCAAATACTTTTTTACAGTACTTTTTTACTCTCATAGCAATTTCCTCCTTTCAGTCAATTACGTGCACGCATACCATGTATTCATATTTTATTCACCACTCCTAATTTTAGAGCATCTTTATCCAAAAATGGTTTTCTTTTTTTAGGGAAAGTCAATATATAAAATAACCCAGGTTTAGCCTAGGCAAAGGTCAACCTTTGAGGATGGAAAAGAACATTCAAGTTTATTGCATTCCTATGTGTCAGGTACCATGCTGGGTGCCCAAGCAGCACCTGTCATCCTGACAACCCAATGAAGTAAGGGTCATTATCCTTCCTTTATGGTGAGGAAACTAAAGTTCAGAGTTGAGAACCTTGCCCATGTTATTCAAATGAATTCAAATGACCTAAACCAAGATTCTCTAATTCCATAAGTCTAGCTATTTCTATGTGTCTTCTATACAAGGACAGTGCCCTTTGCTCTGATGGCTGTGATACTGACTCTCCTGAGAACATATAGCTTCTTTCACCACTCTAACATCCAAGCTTACCTCCTCTGACTCTGGCAAAAGCTTAAGAAATTCTCGAAGTGTCTCTGATCCATAATGCTCACTCTTTCCCTGATGAATATCTTCTACAATGGATTGAGGAGACCTGGAAAAGATAGCAAATCAGGTTCTGCTTCATGGTTACTGGAGCGCCAACAGGGAAACAGCCAGTAGAAATGGAAACAAATCTGCCCTCTCCGCGCCTCCCAGGCAGGAAGGCCCACAACAGCCCCAATGATAGGGAACCACTGAGGCCCTACATCCAGAAAGCCATCCTGGATTCTCCCAGGAAGAAGAGCAACCCCCTTTGGCCTCCCTGGATTCCTATGGAGCCTAGTCCTAGTGAATTCAACAGCACCAGTCCAGCCTCCATGGTGAAAGATGGATCTAGAACTTCCCTGACAAGGAGAATGGTAATTCTCCTGTACATTCTGCTTTCATATCAAAGACATTTGTGGACTCATCAAGCCACACATGTAGGAAGGATTTGAAGATGTGAGGAACACCATTCATATTAGAACTTGAATTTCAGCTTGGCCACACCCACAGACTTTCAAGGTTGACAGTGAGCATTTATGATAGAAATTTTAGATGTGTGCAAAAATCTTACTTCTTAAACTGCTTAAGAAATATCCCAATGTTCATGCTCCGTTTTGCATCCAAGATGGTAATCTAGAAAGAGAGACACATAAGATCATTAAAGTAAAAGTAAGAAACAATAGAGGAAAGAAGAAAATTAAAATTTATCAGAGAGCTAGAAGTGTGGCTCAAGTAGCAGAGCATCTTGCCTCACAAGTGTGAGGCCTTGGGTTCAAATCCAAGAGCCACCAAAAAAATGTATCAAAGTACAATACTAATAAGTGACTAATCCCCATGACATAAAGCTAGAAATTAATAGGTTGATTGAAACATACTGTAAACATCTATGGTAATGTAACAACATGTATAATACATGTATAATAAATGCAAACAAAAATTATGAATATCAAGACATTCTCTCTCCAAACTTTCTACCATGATATATTTTAACAGTAAAAATGACACACATTTATTTTATTACATAAATTTCAAAACATAATTATCTGCTTTAAAATTTTCTTTTTAGAAATAGCCCATGCTTAAAAGCTTTAATCTGGAAACATGTTAGTACAGCAAGAATCATATGAGATTTGAACTGACAAAATAAAACATAACTTGCAGACAGGATGTCAACTCTGATTAACAAATGTAAATAGACTAATATTACTTTCAGTATCTATTTTAGAGAATTTATTTTGTTTTTGTTATTTATTTATTTTTGGGTCCGGTCGTGGGGCCTGAACTCTGGGCCTGGGCACTGTCCCTCAGCTCTTCAGCTCAAGGCTAGCGCTCTACCACTTGAGCCACAGCACCACTTCCGGCTTTTTTCTTTTTTCTTATGTGGTGCTGAGGAATCGAACCCAGGGCCTCATGCATGCAAGGCAAGCGCTCTACCACTGAGCCACGTTCCCAGCCCAGAGAATTTATTTTTACAATAAAATTTTAAATACTTTATTTTTGAAACTGAAATTTATTTTTTAAATTCTGTGAAAATAACATCTTCATAGGAAAAATTCATTTTATTGAGAAAAAAGTTTTATATGTCCAATACTTTTTTAAAGCAAAAGAAATATCCTCCTAGCTGGGTATGGTAGTATATACTTGTAATCCAGAACTCAGGAGACTGAGGAAGACCAGCAGTTCTAGATGAGTCTACATAGACCTTTGTGTTAACAACAACAAAAAGAAAGAAAGAGAGAGAGAAAGAAAGAAAGACAGACAGACAGAAAGAAAGAAAGAAAGAAAGAAAGAAAGAAAGAAAGAAAGAAAGAAAGAAAGAAAGAAGGAAGGAAGGAAAAGACAAAAGAAAAGGAGCCAATGCTGGTAGTTCACCCTTGTAAATTCTAGCTACTCAGGAGTCTGAGATCTAAGGATCACTGTTCAGAGCCAGCCCAGATAGGAAAAGTCCATGAAACCATTATCTCCAATTAACTACCACTAAACTGGAAGGGACACTATGGCTCAAAGTAGTAAAGTGCTAGCCTTGAGCAAAAGAACTCAAAGACAGCTCCCAGGCCCTGAGTTCAAGCCCCACAACCAGGAAAAAAAAAAAGTGATCTATATATATCAATGTAAAAAGAAAAATTCTCAGGCTAGGAAGGTGGCTCAGAGGTAGAGTGCTTGCCTTGCATGCATGAGGCCCTGGGTTCAATTCCTCAGCACCACATAAGAAGAAAAAGCTGGAAGTGGCGCTGTGGTTCAAGTGGTAGAGTGCTAGCCTTGAGCTGAAGAGCTGAGGGACAGCGCCCAGGCCCAGAGTTCAGGTCCCATGACCGACAAAAAAAGAAAAGAAAAAGAAAAATTCTCATACCATATATATTTATGTGTGTGTATATATACATATAATATGTATACATATATGTATATGTATACACACATATATGACAAGTAACTTCTTTTCACATTTTAACATTTCTGGAATCAGGTTGTGTCTTATACACATTTTTGACAATGCAATTAGATGACATTGCTCTTTTAATGCACGGTCAAAACCCAGATTTAGGCTGCATGGTTTACTGGCGTTGCACTACAGGGCACAGAACCCAGGGCCTTGAGCTATACCCCTACTTCTGTCTTCATTTTGTTTCTGACACAGTCTTGCCAACTTTGCTGGGACTGGTCTCAATCTCTCCATCCTCCTGCCTCCGCCTCCCAAGAAGCTTGGATTACAGATATGTGATCCCACACTCCGTTTGCAACAGGTTTTTACTGCTCAAAATTAATAACTTGAGGAAGATTTTTATCAAACTAGAAATTATTGCTTGGGGCTGTGAAATACAAAAACCATTTCTGTCTCAGGAAACAAATAGGCAGAATTCATGGAGAAAGAATAACCTAAATCTACTGTAATTTTTTTCCATTTGTTGTTTTGGTAAAGAGAGACTAGCTAAAACAGGGATGTTGTTACAACCTCTTCCTTTCCAAATGTATGAGGTTCATTGTGAACAAAAGAGAATCGGGTTTCAGACTAAATTCCTGATCTCTGGGGCTGCTTCTAAGTTTATAAGCAACAGCAAGCCTGTTAGCCAACTTTAATGTCACTTCCTGGCCATAAGGTTAAATTTTTACAAGGGTATGGTTGCCTTCTTTTGAAGACTAATCTTAAACAATCACATTATTTACTAACCTAGGGGTTTATTTCATGTTAACACAATCACCTGCCAGCCATAAAACAACCTCCCAAGCTAAAAGGGCAGCCTCCCTTATTGGAATCCTACCCAGACATAGCAGTTCAAGTTCAGTGTGGTGGGAGGGGAGAGAGGGAAAGACAAGCTGAGAACAAAACCTGTCAACCTTAACACCCTGTAAGCAGGAAAGCTCACACCACAAAACTATGCATTCATTATAATGTATAAACTAAAGAGCTGGAAATGTGAACATGTATACTGATATAGTTACATATACATCCAAGAAATTAACTTTGCATTTCTGCCTAGTCTGGGGACAGAACCTGTATTATGTTTCTCGCATTAAATTGCTACCTTCTACCATCCTCTCCGCCCCAGACCCCACCACCACCATGCTCCATCCTATTTACCCTCCAGCCCTGGGGCTCTGTACACCTTCTAGAAACGTGAGGAAGAAAATATCTCTGGTTATTCCCTGGAGATGACATTTTGTAATTTCCCCAAAGCAGTATTAGAACAGAAGTTCAAGCCTGGCTCTCTCAGATTCCTCTTCATTCTGGTTCCTGTGAGCTTCAGCCTCTACAGGCCTTCTAGGGGGGCACAAGAGCCCTTCCTCCCCGGCCCTGAGGCCCTGCAATCAGCCTGGTTTCCCACTGAGAAGTTTCCCAGGAACTGGGCAGATCTGCAGAAAGGAGCCATCCACAGTGCACAGCCAAGCTCCCTGGTGTCTGAGCCCTATGTGAGGGGATGCTGGTGGCAATCATGTTCTCACCAGGTAAGTGGGCCTCCAAGGAGCCCAAGTTTGGGTCCCCAGAGCAGCTGCTGGCCTGCAGACCATGTCCCCATGGCTCAAGCTGTGTGAACCTGGGCAGTTACCTGTCATCAGTTCCTAAGGAAAAACCTGGACTAGCAGTGGCAGAGCACCTTACAGACAACAAAGCCCAGCTCTGCATGAATGAATGGGGAACATGAGACAGATGATAAGCTCCCAGGGCCCGAGCACCCTCAGATTTGCCAAGAGCCTTACAAGTCTCTCCTCCCTTATCAAATTGAATCCTTCCAAGCCCTGTTATAAAAGTGTTTGTTAAGCTTTCAAAGAGGGTTATCACTGCACGTGTAAATGAGCTTATCTCACTCAGTGCTGGCTGTCTCAACAGTGAGACCATGTGTGTGTGTGTGGGGGGGGGGATTCCCTTGGGGCCAGTGAGCTGTACAAGCTAAGTCAGAGAAGCTGACCTGTCCCCAATGAGTGTGCAGCGCTGCCCCACCCCAGCCAGCTCCAGTCTACCTGGAATCTACTCTGCTGGACTCATCAGGCCACCAGGCAGGACCATGGCCACTGGAAGCAGTGCTAACCAGCAGTCAGGAAACACACTATAAGACTTCTACAGCTCCCACTGGAAGGCAGAAATACAAGGGGAAGTAAAGCCATGCACTCTCCTCATTTCAAGGATTTCCTACTGGATATGAAAGCTCCTCAGCTAGATAAGTGTCATCACAGACTGATGTGGGGACAAGGTTGTTCTAATGTCTTTAGAGACACTGAGTGAGCATTCGGGATAGGTGTGAATGTCTACCCTACCTCTTGCTAAAACCTCCAAATGAGCTTGTCTCTCTCTCTTTCCCTATTTCTCTCTATTATCTCTGTGTTTCTCTCTCAGCTGGGGACAATCTATCACTGAGCCACTTCCCTAGCTATACAATTCTTGCTGTTTTCTCCAGCATCAATCCATTACAAAATCCGCCTCCCACATCCTCTACCAGAGGAAGAAACTTCTTTTAATTGTGGTAAACTATCAATAACATTCGTATTTCTTAAGTGTCCAACTCAGTGGCATTAAGTGTATCCACGCTGTTGTGCAACCATCACCATCCTCCATCTCCAGGCTTTTCCATCTTGCAAAACTGAAGTTCTGTACACATTAAACATGAACTCCTAAGCCGGATGCTGGTGGCTCCTCTCTGTAATCTTAGTTAATCAGGAGGCTGAAATCTAAGGATTGTGGTTTAAAGCTAGCCTGAGCAGGAAAGTCCATGAGATTCTTATCTCCAGTTCACCACCAAAAAGCCAGAAGTGGAAATATGGCTCAAGTAGTAGAGTGCCAACCTTGAGCAGAATTAAAGCCAAGAGTGCCAGTCCCTGAATTCAAGCCCCAGGCACTGGGGCTACATGGTACTTTCAACCTCTCTGACTTTGGACTACTGAGGCATCTCCTATAAGCAGACTCATACTTTGTCCTTTGTGGATCTTGTATTTTACTTAGCATCATGTCCTGGAGACAGAAGGGCCTTTTTAAACCACTTTCTACATTCTCAAAAGGGTCTCCTTACCTACTCAGATAATGCTAAATGGTGGCTGCTCCAATCTCATTCTAGGTTTATTTATTTTGTTGTTATTTTTGCTGGTCCTGGTGCTTGAACTCAGGGCCTCGGCTCTGTCCCTGAGTAGGGCCCTCTGTGCTCAAGGCTAGTGCTCTACCACTTGAGTCAGAGCACCACTTCCGGCTTTTTCTGAGTAGTTTACTGGAGATAAGAATCTCACAGACTTTCCTGCTAGGCTGGTTTTAAAGCACAATCCTTAGATCTCAGCCTCCTGAGTAGCTAAGATTATAGCCGTGAGCCACTGGTACCCAGTTCATTCTAGTTTTGAAAAGCAAAGTTTTAAGAATCTGCCTCTTTCATCTAGTAAAGACTTAGCTTTCTGTCTTTGATTTTTTTATTTTTAACATTTTTGGCTGGCTATCAGTTGGAGATTGTTCCTCCATTTTAGGAAGAAAAAAAAACACAAGAAATCTCCAGTTGAAGCATATTTTAAAAAATTCAAGTACACTTTTTAGTTTAAGTTTTAGATTGTGAACATGTCTCAGAATTTCAGTACACACAGGGATCCTAACAATAGTTTAGAAAGAATGATCTCTGAATGTACAGTGTGGGAGAATAAAACATTATTATCTCAAATTTGGTACAAGAAGGCACCCTTGCATCTTTCCCTCCTCTCTTCCTAACTCTCTCCTGTCCTCTTTCTTCCAGGTAGAAATTCGGTTGTTTCCTACCTGGTCAACATAGTGAACCACAACAAATGACCCCCTGTGTTTAATCTGCGAGAACTACAGAAGACAGTCGCTTTGCTTCCTTTGCTCTATCCTGACCAGCTCATTTACCTTTAATTTCTTTAGAGGAACACGAAATGGCTGCCATGTATCCCTATCTTTAAGAGCTATGGAATGTAGAGACAGACACAGACCCAGTGCTACCACGGGGGACCAAGGGACATATGTAACCTCAGGAACTTCAAAACTTTTTGGGAGGAAGAGACCAGTGAATTCTGAGGCTGAGCAGAGACCTTTTCTTTGATCTCCACTAGGTATCTGTGTTATCTCCAAGTGCTTAATTACTGTTGTACCATCACATCTGTAATCTCCTCAAGTTAATTTTTAGGTTAACGAAGACACAAGGATTGCACGATTTCCTAGCCTTCTCTCCCCTATGAACGGCTTTAACTTACTACTTTGAGTCTTGTTCTAAATTCAACTACTCTCAAACTCAAGTCTTCCCCATCCTCCAGCAGATTCTCCCTCTGGAGTATAATGGAACTTATTTATAATGCTTTATGAATCCTTTAAATTGTAAGCCAATCAGAAAAGGTCAGGTCATTTCTGTGGGAGGTTATACATGACTGGGGACTCGACCTGATTTCCTGCACCTCTGAACCTCCAGAGTTATGGCCTGTGTTGTGACAGGCTGGGGCCCTGTGTCCAGATTCATGAACAGGCTCTGTGTGGAACATGCTGTTCAGTTGTATTTTCCAGTCCACCTGGGCAGAGTGTGACAACTATTGCTTTCGACCCTGAACTCCACTTACTGCAGGCTGAGTTGGAAGATTTATTGCTGATCTTTATCAAACCATAATTCTGCTGAGTTATAATTTCTTTAGCAGAAAAAAACTTAATGAGGAAAGGAAATAGGATATTAGCACATTCTTCTATTGAAAAAAGGGTGTATTTAATATATGCAGCAATATTGGATATACTATAAAAACTTGAAAATAATTCTTATGTGATGATGACACTTCACATGAACCAACATGGATCAGTCTAACTACTTATTTCTACATATGGAAGAGCAGAAGGGTTAGATCACCTCGAGATAGTCACACGAATTTCAATTTTCTTCCTCATATGCTATCTCTTAGGGTAAGATCTGTAAGTGTCAAAAGTAAAGTCTCTACACACCTGTATTCCCAGCAGCATTATTCACAAACAGTAGGAAGCAACACAGTGGAGCCTTTTGGATAGATGGATGAATGAATGGATGGATAAATAACAGAGTGGAGACACACAACAAAACATTGTTTGACTTTCAATTTGGACCTGTGCTACAACCTAGTTGAACCTCAAAGATATCAAATTATGAGAAATGAGCCAGTCACAAAAGAGACAAACCCTGTAAGATTCCACTAGAGTAGTTAGATTAAGAGAGACGATGGCCTGAAGGGACGGGGGAATGGGAGAGTATTGTTTAGGAGGAACGGTGTTTCACTTATGGAAGATGAAGAGTTCTGGAGATGGATAGTAGTCATAGTTGCCCAAAAATGTGGATATACTTCACTTAGTGCATGGTGCTAACAGTGGTAAATTTTATATATGTTACATGTATTTTACAATTTAAATTATCTTAGCACAAAGGAAGTAGCTCAGTGGTAGTATGGTTTTCTTAGCATTGTCAAGGGTTTCAAGCAATGAGAAAGAAAGGTGGAAAGGGAGAAAACAAATGAACAGACAAAAAAAGTAATTTAAAAAAAAGCTACTGATGGCACAGGGTAGGTAGAGGCCACTCTTTCCCTCTCATGGTGGTTCTTAGCTTTTCTCTAACTCCCAAGTGTAAAGCAGCAAGTTCTTGGCACACCTTGCCTTTCTCCCAGAGGACACCACCTGCTCTTAGCTGTGGCTTCCCAGGCACAACTGAGGCACCCCCTTTCTGTTCCAAATACTTTCCTGGGACACAAGCCCCTTTTCTCCACACGCCCGTCCAATTATGACTTTAGGATCTTGAAGCTCAACAAGGAGAGCTTGGAGACAATGGTGAGACGTGACCTAATGTACAATAAAGCACTTCTGTTGGAAGCTGGGGCAAAGGCCAGGGGTACTAAGGAAATGACCTCTTGCTTCACCCAATATTGAAAGGATACTTAACCATATAAAAAGGCTTTGCATAAAAGGAAGAGACAGGAAAAGCCTGTGTTCTGCATTGAAGGCATCATGGTCTCTCCTGATGATTTCTTTCTTGACACTCAAACAATCCTAACTCCAGTGTTTCCAACATTTCATAATAATAGACTCTCAATGATTTCAACAGGGCATTCTACTCCAGCTTTAAAAGGGCCCCAAAATGAACTAGTAGAAGGAGTTACATGTTCCTAAGCCAGAAACAGAAAATATGTCAAAATTGTTGGCTTAAGAACTGAGTAACGCACAGAAAGAATACTTCATCCTAGGGCCCTGCCCTCTCTTATCTAGGCAGCTCCATCACTGACCTATTTTCTCAGTTCCTTTACAAGATTAAAAAAAATCAAGATTTTAAGTTGTGCTCTCTCTCCTCCCCCATCTCCTTTTCTTTGCCCTCCCTCCCTTTCTCTTTTCCCAACATTCACTTCTTATCATTCCAGACTTGTAATTCTTTCTCTTAGCAGGTAAAGGTTAGCTTTTTTCCTCCTCAAAGTAACACATTTAGTATTAACTGCAAATACGCTTCTCACGAAGAGCTTTATGCTTTGGCTCTGTGGAGCTCTTCCTTTCCAGAGGCCACAATTTCATCTAGATATCGGAAGAATGAAGGCTGACTCGAAATCAGTGGGCAAAACTTAAAGACACACTGGAGAGGAAAATAAGGGTAAAACCCTAAGGATATCTAGTATTGATGTAACTTAAAAGGCATTTGATCTGGGACAGCTCTGGTGCATCCCAGATAGCTGAGTTCAGAAGCTCAATCTTTTGCACAAAGGAGACTAACAACCCTGAACTGTAGCAGATTTCTCAGGGAGGGGGTGGGAGAGAGATGGGAGAACCAGAGCAGATGTGCTAGAGACTGGGCAGTGCTCAGTGGCCACAGACCAATGGCCCCCACTAGCGTATTCTCTGCATGAGGTCATAACCCACTGGGACATGGAGAGGATCCATAAGCACACACCCTATGCTTTTTCACGACTCAGCTCCAACTCATCACAGGGGCCCTTTCGGTCATTTTCAGAGCATATTCACTTGCACTGAATTATTTCTTAGTGATGTTTAGGAATTATTTAGACCATCTGTACCAACAGCTCTCAACACAAAATGGCATGGCATGTGTCAGGATTTGTTCTCACCTCTTCCCGGGAATCTCTGAAGGAGGAATAAAATGATCCTCCTCTCCTGGGGAGAGAAGACCTGGCGGTGTCCTCCTGCTGCCCGAAGAGCTCCTCAATGGTCTTTGTGTCAATCTGGTAGTGATGCTGCTGCCTGGCCGCCAAGGTCCAGATGTTTGTCTTGCCCCGCACTTGTTCCTCTGGGATGGTTTTCCAGAAAAAACTTCGCATGCGCTTCTTCTTACCCAGGGTACTGTAGCCGTTCATGTGAGAAGTTGGGGGTAATCCTGGCGGTGGTGGCGGAGGTGGAGGGGGTATAGGAGGCCCCCCTGGGAGTGGAGGTGGCAGAGGAGGAGGTGGGGAGGGTGAAAAGCCTTCCCCTGATGGTAGGCATGGTGGAGGGGGTGGAGGAGGAGGTGGAGGAGACGCTGGGGGTGCTGTCTGCCCGATCATGAACCCAGCTGCAGTGGCAACAGTCCCATTTTCTTTATCGCTGGCCAGGGAGACACAATTCATAACATGCATAGTACTGTTGCCTTCTAAGGAGGTAATTCCTTGACCTTGGGGAAGCAGACACAAACATCAAACTCCTGTTACACTTCTTTGCCCATGAGTCGGCTGCCAGAAAAGTAGACAGCCGTCCTACTTGTCATCTTCCAAACCTGCAAAGACAGAATGAGTTCAGGGTCAGGACAGACAGAGGTTTCCATAGGGGCTTTGCCCTATTAGAGGCCAGCCCTCCCCACAGCTGGAGGGGGATATACCAAATGGTATGAAAAGCAACCAGTACATTTATTAACCAGGAATTTCTGCCAAAAGAGAACTAAGAAATCCAATTTGGAAACCCTCCATTAATCAATAAAGCATGTGCTTATTGAAAGATCACCATAGGTTCAGCAAGTATTGCTCACTTTATGAATAAACTATTTGTTCACCAACTGGTTGATTCTCTTTTAGGCAATGGATACCTAGCCCTATGGAAACAGCCCAAATTACTGAAGCATTAGGTGTTTAGTGACCCTGCCTTCTTCCAGTCTGGACATGTCTCCTAGCAATCACTGGGTCAAAAGGCATCTTCCACTGAGTGTGCAACAGGCGGGGCATTTGGAGATGATTGACAAGCAGCCCGGCTCATTTCCCTGAAGTCAGGGTCATCAGCATGCTCCTGTTCCCTAGGCTGATATGGTTTCCTCCAAAATAGAGAAAAGAAGGCCAGGCATGCAGGTGACAGGTGCCAGGTCTAAACAACTTTCCTGTTCAGCATTCTTCACCAGTCACCTGGCCACATGACCTTCGGTCTGCCATCTGGACAATTTGGAAGATGCATGGCACGGCCTCTGCCTCCCTCACCAAGCTGCCAACTTGGGAGTCTAGATAAACCACACTCTTATAGCCAATTAGAACTTGTCACCTCCCCCTTCCACTTCTGTGACATACAAGGACAGGCTTCCTCTATCAGGTCTGCCACATTTCTGTCCCTTATCCACACAACGCACACGCTTCTCTTGGAGGCTTGTATCTTTATGGACCTTCAAATGTTTGTTTTTGGCTTTGGGTTATTACTGACATGATGCAAAATTGGGTCAAAACAGTTACAGTTCTTTCAATACAAGGACAGCTGGCAATGAGGGATGAACAAATGGACTTGACTCGGGAATGACAAGGTGAGAGTGTGAAAAGGGGACTCAGACTGCCAGGTGTAATTATTATTTTACAGTTATTATTGGCAGAGACCAGACCTATCGACACAGTTATGTGAAATAATACTGGATTATGCAAAAGTAAATTGTCTGATACCTGACATCACTCAAATATGATGACATTTCCCCTACAGCCACATATCAAAGGCAGGATTACCTTAGAGAATGGAAAAGTCTAGAAACAGATCACTTTTCCTCAGAATTCGCCTACCTGCACAACTTGTAGGCTATATAAATTCACTTCAGCATGTTCAAAATTAGCATACATCTATTCCATTGCTTTGCTTAAGAACAGATGCACCATCCTTATCAAGATTTTTGGTAAGTAGTTAGATGTTACTAATCATTGCTCGTGTGTACACTTTAGCCTTATATTTTCATAGGCACTGTATTTGCTCTTTTTCTATTTTTAAAATTTTACTTTATTATTTTCAAATAGTTGTATAAGGGGGTTACAACTTAGTATGTCTATTTGTGTCCAGTGTATCTTGTTCAGTAACCCTTCTATCATTCTCTCTGACTGTCACATTCCCCTCCCCTCACGCATTTGCTTTTTATAGATAAAAGTTATAGGGGTTTATAGATAAAGTAATAAATTACCCCTGGCTGCTAGAAATACATATTTACTATTTCTGCTTTCTGCTATCAAGGTTTGTAGTTTGCTGGGTCTGTCCTTTTAAAAATATATATTAAATTATCTCTATAAGAATGTGTTTGTGAAACATTCAAAGTATTTATTTATTTTGGTGCTGGGGATTAAACCCAGGGCTTTATACACATGCCAAGCATGTATTCTACCACTAAGTTATACCCTCAGGCTCTGAAAAGTTAGGCCTTGAAAACTGCTTAAAGTAGAAAATAAGATATTTCCAACTCTTACAATTTGCACACAGTTTTTAACCATTTGAAGGGTTCAGTTTAGAGGCATAAAGTACATTCACAGTGTACAGCAATGATCACTTCTGCATATTTTCTAAATAGGTAAAATTAAAAGTATGTATCCAAGCTGGTTTACAGCTCATTTGGACTGCAACTGGCTTTTAGAAGGAGTTTTCATGATTATCATTAGGGGTATAACTAGGCTGTTTTCATAGTTGGCACCCCTAAAGCAAATGACTCACTGTCAATTACAGTTTATAGTTATATTTGAACTCTTCTTTTTCAAGACTGTACAGGTAATTTTGGCAGTTCATTATTACATATTTTTAAATATTTTTGTAGATAAAATAGCTGATGTATATAAGAGTTGCTAATTCTCCAATTCACCTCGAATCCCAATTTTTTTTTTCAGTGCTGAGGATCAAACCCAAGGCCTCATTTACACTGGACAAGAACTCTACCACTGACCTACATTCCAGCCATCTACTATCCATCTAAGAATGGTGATTGCTAGGAGAATAGCTAGGGTTATGGCCTAGATTGTGCAAGGCCCTGGATTCCAACCCGAACACTTCAAGCAAGCAAGCAATAAACCAAAAAGTGTATAAAAAGTGTTGTTTTTTTTAAAAAAAGGCCTCAATCTAGAAAGCAATAATCCAGTGCTGCCTAAATACATGTAGAGAGAGATGTACTATGTACCACTAACAACCCATCCAGAGAACTGTGGTTCAGAAAGCCAGTCCAGGCAAAAATAAAATCCAAGAGATTCTATTTCAAAAATAACCAACAAAAGGCTGGGTTGGAGGCATGGCTCAAGCTGTTGGACCCCAGTAGAACCAGCAAGCTCAAGGACCTGGGTTCAAACGTCAGTAACACCAAATTTAACTTACTAAGTTTTAAGAAGCTGTACAATATCACTATCTTCTAACATCAAAACATCCCTAAATTCATCTCTTAAAGGGAGATAGAGGGAGGAGAGAAGAAAAGAGATTGGGAAGGCTTCCCCTTTTGAGTACCGTGCTTCACAGGGAAAGTACCAGATAAAAACGTGCCAAAGTAAAGTGTGCCCTGTGTTAGCTACGTGTTGGCATGACTCTAAACACTGCCTCATCTTTGAAAAGAATGTTATTCTTAAAAGTTTATGAAGCAAAGGGAAATACATCATACTGTCCCTGGTAAGCTGTCTGGTTAATTTTTTCCCAGGTGACACATAAGCATTTTAGCCCCCCCAAAGCTCCCAATGAATCAGCTCACAGGCAATGATTAGCTATGATGCTAATGCTTTTACTACAGTGGCTTCAATAGCATAGCCCACCCCCCTGGGCAAGGTTGCCAATGTCAAAGAGGTAGTAGGAAAAAGAGCAAGCAAATAGGATTCTCTGTGAGCTATTAAAATAGAGGATAACCAAAGAATTCTCAGTTCACCATTATATTGCCACAGTGGAGATGCAACTGAACCCCCAGGTACGCTAGGAAAACATAGGTCATGCCACAACCCTGACAGATGACACTTGCTACCAGTTCTCACAGCTGACAATTGCCAGCAGGGACAATGGTGCCGTCTGAGAGGCCATCAACGGTCCCATCAATCTCCCCAGAACACACAGAGACAGGCTTGTATTTAGCATCTCTGCTGGAGGCTGGGGCCCTCAGCAGCAGGGAGGAGGGAGCAGGGCTGCTGAGGCTGACAAATGCTCAGCCAGGGGAGGCTCTGGGGACAGAACTTGTCTTCAAGTCCCACAGCCCACCAGAGGTGGGCTTAAGAGCCTCAGGTGGAGGCTGAAGTTCTGGGGGAGCTTCTTTTACCTTTGGGAAATTTCAAGAAGACATGCTGGCATCATGAAGTAAGCCTTAGGTATTTAACTGGTAAGCAAAAAAGTGTACACATGATCTTAATTGCCCAAAAGACCAAGAAGCAATAGCAACCAGCAGCTCTGTGAACTACTTGTGAACTACTCTTGCTGAAAAGCTGGGACAGCCATGCCTTTGGTGTTAGAAACATCCCTAAATTCCATCCTCTTGAAGGGAGATGGAAGGAGAGAAGAGAGAGCAGGAGGCTTCCCCCGGTGAAGAAGAGATCAGCCCAAAGGCGTGGGAAGGCCTGATGTTGAACAATAATCAAAAGTAATAACCATACCAGATAACGCTTTCCCTCAGGTTCCCGACTTGTGCTACTGCTGGGGGGGAGGAGGGCAGGAAGGGCTGGTCCAGGGCTTTGGAGGCTGGGCAAGCCAGGTGTGGAGCGCAGAGGAGAGCAACACAGCAGGCAGGAGGGAAGAAGGAGGAAGGGGAGATCTTTCATTTTTGCTCTCATTCCACCAACTACTGAAGAAATGCTTCCTCTTTCTACTGCCACCACCTAACTCCCAGCCTTCCCGGATTGTTACACACAGGCTGTCCGTGCAAGCACACAGTGGAACCCGCGCTGACAACTTGGCACTCCAAGACAGCATGTTTAATCTGTCGCCTCGTAAACATTCGCAGCTGCTTGAGAGCGGCCCCCAGAGCCCAGGGAGACGCCTGCGGCTTCTGCACGCGCCTTTGCAAGTTTCTCCTCTCTCCGTCCCAAAAGCAAGCAAAAGGGAGACAAGTCAAAAAGCACCAAGTGTCCATGAGCGCTCTCGCAGAGGAGGGAAGGAAGCTTTGGGGTCCAGACACCCTTGGGCCAGCGGCGGGCGGGGGTCACGGAGGGAGGGCTGAAGTCGTGGGGGGGGGGGATCTGTGCACACGGACCAGCCCCGATCGGCCGGACGGGGAGGGGGAGGACGACACCCGATTTCTTGCGAATCACGGAGGACGCAGTTTCCGCCGCCAAAGTCTTCCCCTTTGGCAGCGGCCACTCGTTCACCATCTCCAACCCCGCACCCCGCCGCGGGGGCCCAGCCACTCACCGGCTCTACCGCCTCCCGCCGCGCCCGGCCCGGAGCCGGGGATCACGCGGCCCGGGACTGGTCCCGGACGACCTTATCTAGCCGGCCGGGCGCCGACGCCA